TGTAAATAATTAATGTATATTATATTTTAATATTTAATAAATTTATTTACCATCTGATTTTTGAAATATGTTAATAAGTTTGTTATTTATGAAATGTAAATTTTAAAATTAGGAATTATGTATTGTTCCCTTTTTAGTTTTTACTTGTTGGAGTAATGGTAGGTTTTCTCTTAAGGGATTTTTCTTGGGATGTTTCGATTTGTCGGATGCTTCATCAAATCCATTTACAAAAATAAAATAATTTAAAAGGCATAAATCAAACAGCATTAAAAACTAAAAAGAACAAAAGACCAAAGCCCTAGGTCTAAAAAACAAATTGTTAATCTCTCTTTCTTTCCCTCGTCGTCTGATAGTTGCCCCATATCCACAAACTCCTCTCTCTCTCTCTCAAATTTCTACATTGTGAAATGAAATCACAACCTTCGTCGGTAAAGTTTCAGTAAAAAATATATTTTTCTTACTTTTTTTTACCCTTTTCAATTTGGTATTTGCTTTTTGTAACTCCGAATTCTGAGCCAACTCCAAACACAGTTACACAAATCGAATACTCCAAACAAAACCGATCGAAGATTGTTTGGTTTGGGTTGGTTCTATTTTACTCCCAATTTTGGGTTGGTCTGCTTGATAACTTATAAACCAAATTGAATAGTTCAATCTCGAGTTCGACCAAAAATCAAACCAACCCACACTCACTCCTACCGGTAAGATAAGATTAATTTTTTTTTGTAATATTAAAGCACTATCATTTTGAGGCCGCAACAATTCCTCACTCGGCCTCAAATTCGTAACCATAACTCTAATACCATTTATAAGATTAGACTTTACAAACTATCACGTGAAGTACGTCAAAGGTTGAAAAATTGATCAAACATACTTTTTATATACACATTTTGTAGAACTCAAAAATTACAATTCATAAAATTCAGTAAACTTATGAGTACTTCTGCCAAACACTATGACCATGTTTGATAGCATAGAAAATGGGTGGAAAAAGAAAATATTTTCCAACTTTCCATATTTAATAATGTTTGATGACCATAATTTGGCATGGAAAGTTTCACTTTTATTTTCCCTCTACGCGCCTTCTTCCGTGCGTGGTAGGAAATGATTTTCCCACCTTTTAGGTGGGAAAATGAATTCTAGGTTGTCTTTTTTTTTTTTTTTCAATANNNTAATTCCCAGGTCTGCCCCCTTTTTTTTTGGCAATTAAAACAAATATCATAACCATGTGTAAAATAAAAATTCACTTTCATGGATAATTTTGATGCAAATGAAGGCCAAACGAATACTAAATTTTGATTTTAAAAAATGATTTTTTAAGAAACAATTTTTTTTTTTTTTTATTTTTTGGCAATTGAAACAAATTTTATAAACAATTATGGAAAAAATTATTACTTTAATGGACAATTTCCATGTAAAATAAAACCAAATAAACACAAAATTTAAAAATTTTTCGGATGAAAAATTATAATAATCACACACTTAATTAACAATTCCCTATAAAATATTTTTTAAACAATTATTTTCCTTCAAATTCATTTTCTTTCCATCCATTTCCCACACTTACAATTCTTAATTTAACGGACGCCATCGTACAAAACAGAAAAAATAATACGAGAGAGAGAGAGCGCGCGCGTGTGGGGGAGAGCAAGGGGTTGGTTGAATGGTGGTAGGTATGAGATTGACTGAACCTGAACCGATCCAATTTCCTTAATATAAAAACAACTAAATTCATAGATCCTTTCTCAGCTTGCACGTTCACTTTTAAAGAGAACCACAAGCTTCAAAATTATACCAATTCCCCTACCTATGGATCTCAATTCCATAATCCGAATAGCGTCGCCACCGCCGCGACACTGGCTCACCCACACCCGACTTAACCAGAGTCGAACAGTCATCCAATGTGTCTACAGATTTGAATCGTCCAAGGCCAACGCCTTGGGCGGCTTAAACTTCAGTCCAGGAGGTCGGTATGACTGGCAGAGTTCGTGTGCAATATTGGCCAGCAAAGTGGTGTCGCAGCAGCAAGATAAGGAGATGAACGGCGGCGCTGATGGAATCTCCGCCGTTAATGGCCACCATACTCACGACCTTGTGCCTGTCAAGACAGCTAAGACTGTGCCATCGGCTTTCCCCAAACCCCTCAGCATCGCCGACCTCTTGCCGGCGCCGATGCACGGATCACAGCTCCGCGTCGCGTATCAGGGTGTTCCTGGAGCGTACAGTGAAGCGGCCGCCGGGAAGGCGTATCCAAATTGCGAAGCCATACCCTGTGACCAATTTGAAGCGGCGTTCCAAGCCGTTGAACTTTGGATCGCGGATAGAGCGGTGCTTCCGGTGGAAAATTCCCTCGGTGGATCTATTCACCGGAACTATGACCTCCTCCTCCGCCACCGCCTCCACATAGTCGGCGAAGTTCAGCTCCCCGTCCACCACTGTCTCTTAGCACTCCCAGGTGTTCGAAAGGAGTACCTCACCCGCGTAATCAGCCACCCTCAGGCACTCTCCCAATGCGAACACACCATTACCAAACTAGGCCTCAAGGTCGCACGTGAAGCCGTGGACGACACCGCCGGAGCAGCCGAGTACATAGCAACCAATAACCTCCAAGACACGGCTGCAATTGCCTCAGTACGCGCCGCGGAGCTTTACGGCCTCCAAATTCTGGCGAATGGTATCCAGGACGACTCCAGTAACGTAACCCGATTCGTCATGTTAGCCCGAGAACCCATAATCCCTCGAACCGATCGTCCCTTCAAAACCAGCATTGTTTTCGCCCATGAGAAAGGAACCAGTGTACTATTCAAGGTTCTATCGGCGTTTGCATTTCGGAACATAAACTTAACAAAAATTGAATCACGGCCGCACCGGAATAGCCCAATTCGTGTGGAGGAAGATGGCAATGAGGGTATGGCGAAGCATTTTGAGTACATGTTTTACGTGGATTTTGAGGCGTCCATGGCGGAATTGAGAGCGCAAAATGCACTTGCTGAAGTTCAGGAATTCACGTCTTTCTTGAGAGTATTGGGGAGCTATCCAATGGACATGACGCCATGGATCCCCTCCAGAGAGGAAAATATATAAATCATTTCTCTCTCATACAAACAAATTTCAATCAGTTTTTTCTTGGTTCGAATGTAGAGTTTGTGTTTTTTCCTTTTTAGCAAAGAAAAATAAAATTATTATTTGAAGTTATTTTGGTGTATTATGATAGTGAGAAATGTTTGTGACAACTCAATATCGAACTTTTTTTTTTTAGTGTGTGTGGCTGAAATATGTGTTGCGAGTTGATACATAAATATATTTCTTTTTGTAAACAAATATTCACACTAATATATATTATTGCGAGTATAGCAATTTCTACCACAAGAAAATTTATTAAATTAATTAATTTTTTAGTAAATTTTGATACATTCAATATAAATATTGGGAGATGCAAACCCACATCAAATTGAAATGTCCAATTCCACGCATCAGTAAATTTACCTTCCCACATTTGTCGAGCAGGCGTGCAAAATGACCATTCTGTCCCTTATTGCATTTCCCCTATCCTACCCAACTTATTTTCTTGCGTGATCATAATGATGGGGTATATTGTCATTTGCAACAACAATTGATTGCTGTGATGATAGGCTAGTCTGCCGACACAATGTACATAATTTCTTATTGGACTCATATTTTGGCACCAAAAAATTCATTTCTTGCTAAAAAAATGTACGAGAAGCTCAATTTTTTAGTGGTAAAACAATCATACTATCCAGACTTGGTTTGTACTATTCCACTAATTCTCTGAATCAAAACCAATGATAGATGAATTTGTACTGTGTAGTTACCACAGCAAATTATTTTAAACTTCGTATTGTCACTCGATAATAAAAGTTGTGATCGTCCACATTCTATGGCCATTGAGTGGCAACTATTGTCAATGACGACACCACAACTCCACAAGCCAAACTATTGTCAATGACGATCACCACGAGCCATGGGCGATTTTGACCGTTGATGATGAAGGTTTTGATTGTCAGTGAAGATGAAGGAGTCAATGAATTGTGTGAAGCGATTTTTGGTCTAAGCTACAGAAATATAATGGATGTCGAGCACCTTTTAAACTATTCTAATGAAAATGATGCAGTGATGACTTATCTTACTAATGAAGAAATTATTCAATGAGTACTCAATACATCTATCATTGATGGTCATGATTCAGATGATAATTGTGTTTACCGACTGTTTCTTCGAAAGAGGCATTTCAAGTGGTCATAACCTTAAATAATTAATTTGTATAAAATGAAAAAAAAAATATATATATATATATATATATGCCAAATGTAGTATGTGCATTGCAAAAAATTAAGAATGAAAATGAGTTTGGTTTGGGTACAAAAGAAAAAGTAAAAAGATTTAGATGTATATTTTGAAAAAGAGAAGTATTAAAGAAAATGTTGTGAAATTAAGTTTATTACTCCATCCGTCT